GTCTCCTTAGCACGGCAAAGCGAGGCTGAGGGAGTAAAATGTACAAAAATCCCTGTGCACAGGGGAAAAAAAAAAAAAAAAAAAAAAGCTCTTGTGTGAGCAATCTGCAAGGCTTTGTATGAAGACACTGTTTTGCAACATCAGAGGAAGTTCGCTCTCATTGATAAGGTGGCAGTTGGTAAACCATCTCACCACTAAAAAACTCCAAGAGTGAAAGGGAAATCCCCAGGGTAAAGCAGAGATGAAGCAAATGCCAATTATAAAGGACCTTCCTCACATGCGTAGCCAATCAGGTCATCAGAACACTGGAAAGGAAACTTGAATTTAAAAATATATTATCTGGTTTGCAACACTGGAGCCAAGGGGCAACCACATTTTATTTATATGTGCATACAAATACATTTAAATAGAACCAGGGGGTTATTTTTCCTCAAGAATATGCAAGATTTTAGCCCCCATAACTCCCTTGAAGGCACAGTTCCCACTTGTACAGCACTGTGTAGAGTTGCCCAAAAAATTGGAAAGAAATATCAGTTTGCCTATAAAACAAAGTAGGTTTTCATCTGACTCAAGAATTTATTATTTCCACTAGACTCCATATCTCAAAATACTTGGGGGGGGTGGTGTCTAAAAGGGTTAACGGTACCAGTGACTTTATCAAAGACCAACACTGGGGAATTTCTAGAAGATCTGCACACTGCAACACGATTTTCTCTCCTCCTGAATCTATTTGGCTTCCCTCAGCATCTGACAAACTTTTAGATGGTATTTAATGGCGCAGGAATCACCTCTTGCTGTTGACTAGGATCCAGCTATTAGTTTAAGGCTGTCGCTGAAACGCTGAAAGGAAACTCTCCTTTACACAAAGCGAATCTCAACATTCACAGAAGTTAGCACAGTTTTGGTAGCACTTCTTGGGAGAGAGACTGAAAAAAAGGTTCAGCTGAAATTTAGCTAACAAAGCTGGCTGCACTTTTTTGGAGACTAGAATCACTTCAATTCTCTTGTAAATACACTAATTAAATTTATTCAAAATGAAATTATATAAAGCATAGCCACCAAATTTATGAGTTCAAATCTTTGAATGTGCAGCAAGTGAAACAATAAACAATTAATGCAGTTATGTCACTACTTTTCCTGGAGGCAGTAAGGCTTCATCAGTGGTCTTAATGCCTTTCCTGTAGTGCATAAGAAAGAAATAAGAACTAGCGGACTTGCTACTGTCACCATACCTGCAGAAATACTCTGATGTACTGGAAAAGGAAGGGAAAAAAAAAATGAAGCTGACAACCGTAACATTTCTCAGGCAAACTTCAGTGACAAACTCTAAATTTCTTGTGCCTTATGGGATTATATAAGCTACAGAAACGTCAGTAATCAAACTGCCTCCAAAACTCATACAAGCAACTACCCTCTGGTTTTTATCTCATGACTGTCGGTCACTACTTGAGCTACCTTTCATGATTTTGCCTTTCCATTTCTTAACTTATATGGGGGAATAGTATCATCACATCTGTGGTCCACAAGGGCTTACTCGTGACAAAACGTTACTTGTGGAAATGAAGAACCCTTTCTCCGGAGGAACGTATAAATGACATTTTATCCTATGTATTCTATAAAAAAAACACAATAAATCCAATGATCTCTTTATTGCTTATAGGGGCCTAGAAGAGAAGCAGTATCTTTTACATCATACAATCAGTCTGTAACAAGATTTGAAAGATAAGACCGTATGATCATAAAGACAGGCTATGCTTACATGCACAGTAATCAAGTCTCTATTCATTCCATTTGTTTCCCCTCCTATCACCCAGTCAAGACTAAAACACTGAAGTCTTGTTATTACCATGCTCCCTGTAATGCTGCTTTCTCTGCTGACTGAGGCAGGAACTCGAGCAACGCAGCCTAAACATGTACAAGTCTTGAATTGTTGTTTCCTGTTAAAGACTCGGATGAAGACAAAGACTTAAAATTACCAGAAGACAGTTGAGGATGGACATTAAATATTGTCAGACACGTTTACTTTGATCCATGCTCAAAATGCTCAGTGGTTAATGGATTGTCAACCTCGGACCCAAGCAAAAAAACAAAATATTGAAAATACTTTCCCCTGAGTAGCAGAATAATGTTTGTGATGTAGCCTGGTGGGTTGGCTTGCTGCCCTGATAAAGACTACTGGGAAAAACAAACAAACGAACCAAGCAATAAAAGGTTAAAATTACAGAATTTAAGTAGCCAAGGAAGTTATTGCCTAAAGTGAATAGCAAGCTAGATTCAGGCATCTGAGCAATTTTCAAAAGTCTAGTCAGTACTCCTGTGGGCTGTTGAGCACAAAATTTAAAAAATACAATAAAAAAGCCAAAGTCTAGTTTATATTCCTCATTTTCACTGAGCCTTGTGAACTGGAAGTGTTTTAGTGCAAACTTTACTAGGAACACTGAAAACTAAAATAAAGACAAGTAAGATTTTCCTCATTCAACCAAAATAAATTACTCAGCCCTAAATTGAAGAGAAGTGGGTTAAAAAAAAGTTAAATATGTTAATAAGCACTTTCTGTGTGAAGAGACCTCTAGTTAGAATTTCACTCTTATTTTCTACTCAACTTTTCAACCATGCCTGACTGGTCCTGATTAGCCAGCTGCACTGCTAAACCCCAGGCCAAACCTGTAGGCAATCAACAGGATAACATCTTTGTCCTGGGCTACAGCTTCTTTTGAGCAGGTTGGCCAAGTTCAACTGCAATTTGCTTAGCAATTCACCTGCCGTGCTGGCTACCACTCTGGAAGGAACTGAAATTCTGTTCATTAGCCTCCTCTAAAGGAGGTGACATTTAAACAATGCTAGCGTCCAGCCAGTGTGCCCTCCTAATTCCCCCCAGAGTACTGGAGTCGTTTGGTTCATTTCAACCAACTCGTCAGGGTTTCAAGGATACGGAATTCCCAGAATCTTGGGAAAAAAATATTAGGGAACTGGGTGGAGACAAAACACTTAAAAGAATACACCACTGGAGGGAAACTGCCACCTGAGTTACCTGGTATGCCAAGCCCCCTGGCAAGCAGGATGGGCAACAGACATGTGCTTAGAGGCAGCCAGAGCTTGTCTCACCTCTTTCTGAGCTGGAAGTATGAGGGGGAGAAATTGGCAACGCTTAGGAGAACAGCAGAGTGGTCGCAGGGACCGCGAGGCAGAAGCCGGTGCTACTGAAGCGTGTGGGCAGGGGAAAAGCGGTAGATACGGATCCACAGGAAGCCGGGGTGATAGTTCTGCTGTTAGGAAACAGCTTGGCTAAGCACAGGAGCACCCCCGACAAGCTGAGATCAGCTATCCAACCTCAGCGTTCACACTTTGACCACTACCAGGTACTTTTAAATTTGTACATCTTTCTCAGAAGCGTAGCTGTGGAATAATTGGTCCCCTGGAAGTTTATTCAACTTGCTTTACAAGTCAAAGTCTCAGACCATGCTACACATCCTGATGTTGTGGTACTGACATTCTCCTCATCCATTTCAGTTTTTGAAATTCAGGAGCCTTCTAGTGATGAAAAGGAAACAGAGTTCAGAAGATAAAGGATTTGGGGGGCAGGGATAACCCCAGAGGTAAATGTACATTCTACAAAAGGTCTCATGGATACAATCTGTGTGTGTAATGTATGGAAAAAGATTTTTAAAATTGCTTCCTCCTGCCTTCATGCCCCCAACAGAAAAAAGGGAAAATTGTCCTTTCCACTTTTAAAATGTTATCAGCCACACTCTCCACTTACACAACCTGCGATTAGAACAAATTAAAGTAAATCTGCTCGCTGCAAACCAGAGACGCAAATTTCCGTGCACATTTAAGTATCCCAAAAAATTCACACTGAAAGCTGGGGGCTGTGCTCCCCTGGGACGGCAATTAGTCAGCAGAGGGTTGTGCAGAGCGCTTTGGTCCTTGCCTCCAGAAGCACATTGCAAAGCTACCGCACAACTCGCTCAAGCACCAGAGAGCATGAAACTCGTTCCTAGTTCTTAGCCAGTAGCACTGATGCCCAGAACACACAAAGCAGCTTTGAAATAAGTTTGCCTCCCTCGGTGATGAAAGTATTCAACAAAAGCATTTCAATTGCATAGTACCTGTTTTTCTGGGTCGCTCCTCCTAACACACACATTCGCATGTATAGTTTAGAAATCTTTATTTGTGAAGCACATGTAAATTTGTATAATTAGAATAAAATCGTATAATTTTACACAACAGTTGCAAAAGCGGTTGCTGATGTCTTTCACTTTCTGCCCTGTTGCATACAGCTGGCAGGCAGGCAGGCAGCACTAATGAGCATAATGGAACAGGGGTGAGGTTGCGAAATCTCCTCCGTTAAGAGCTGCTCAGAGCTTGGCTGGATGAGGTCCTGAGCAACCCGCTCTAACTGGAGATGGGTGTGAGCAGGAGGACAGAGCAGATGGCCTCCAGAGGTCCCTTCCAACCATGTTATTCTATGATTCTGTGATAACCAAACTTTTCCTGTCAGACACCAAGCGAGCAACCCCCAAAATTTCTCTTGCAACTAGGTACAACTCCTTCCTTCATATGCCTGCACTTAAACAGCTCCCAGACGAACTAAGGGCCAACTTTCTCAGCGATGTTTGCCAACATAACCAATTGCCCAAACAATCTGTCACTATGGCATACAGCAGTAGCAGATCCGCTACCAGGAGCTGGGGTGGCATTTTGTCCTAGACTCGACCATGGGCGGGTGCTTGCTGTTACATGTGTGTATTGATGTTTGGAGCAGTTTTCACTTCTGTCAAGCACTCAGGGGAACAAAGCTGGGATCTACAGTTGAAATAACTGAGTATTAGTGTAATTCAAACAAAATGGAGCAAAAAAAAAAACCCCAAACAAATAAAAGATGTATGCAATAGTAATGAAAGCCAAAGGGAGTTCTGCTGATCACAGAACTTGCATAGAAGCAAACTCAAAGACAAACCTGGTTCAAAATTTCCATCTATAAATACAACCAATCCCACCTGTCGTTCTTCTTCAAGACGTATTCTCTCCTCTTCTTTCCGCCTTTCCTCCTCTCTTTTTGACTCAAGTTTTTTCCGTTCTTCTCGCTCTGCTTCTTCAGCCTAAAAAAAAAAAACCAAAACATTATGCAAGCCAGGCCTTACTCTTCCTGAATATATATTTTTTTAATTTCATATTGTGATACCATGGAGGGGCTTGTTACTGTCTTCGTAGATGCATGTTCAGAAACAAACAGTAAAGAGAATAAGAAAAATAAGTCATTAACTTCCCCCTCCACCTCCCCAATCTTCAGCATACTTAACATTGTGATAAGCTTAGAAATTACCGTTCTCACTTGCATTATCCGTACCTCAATAAGGGTTTAAGCTTGGTAAATGCATATGAGCTCATTACTATAGTGATATTAAGTAATATTGTGTCATGGCATTCCATTTCTCCTCACTTAAAATTTAGTTAGAATGGACTCTAAGGAAAGGAAACAAGGAGAAGGGACTATAAACTTTGTAAAACCAAGTACATTCAAATTTATCATTCACCTGGGCAGAATCTCTTAAAGAAGAAACTGCATTGGTCTCTTCAAACCATTTTACTATTCGTTTTTAAACCAGACCTAGTAAAGAGATTGTTGCAAAATGGTAAATAAAAAGGGTGCTTAGTGTATCATTTAGAGATTTTTTTTAAATATGTTCTTCAGTCTCTTCAGTATACTTAAATTTGAAAATATATTAAGAGAATAAGCAGAAGACATTCAAACAGAGGATCTGTGGCTTTGAATGTTTCTGCAGAAAAGACCTAACCAAGGAATTTATCTGTCTACATGGGAAAATAAAAATCAGCATGTTTTAAAATGAAACAAAAGATTCCTCACTCCACCAACCGATGCTTATCTAGCTTCATTCAACCTTGCTCAAATTTTCCACAAAAAAAAAGAGGCTAATTAAATAGAATGAGTATGGAAAGTAATGACAAAATGGTTAATGCATAGAGTTAGTGAGAAAAGCATCGTAATGGAAGTTTATATATAACATAATAATAAAGTTTATTACCAACTGCCCTATCTACAGGGCATTCCACTACAGTGTAAAGCAGAAAGTGGATTTAAGCCTCCAGTGACACTAAAATTCAGGATGGGATTTCACTGGCTTTGTTTGGACCCTCTACACATTAGAAATGTTAGCAGTTTCATAAACCCTATCTTTTTGTAAGATCTGTGAAGTCCACCGTGCACTCCAGCCTCTGTGATGCAAAGGCTGTTTAAGTTTTATCTACTTCTTGCAACGCCATGTTCCAAGTTACAGAACAATACAGAGCTTGCAAAAAAATATAATCGAACAACTAAAAGGACTTAATGTATAACTTGCTGCCGTCCACGAGCACACTTCAGAAAGTTTCAAAAAGCCTGTTGTTTCCCTGGAATTAACAGCAAAATGCTCGGCAAAACTGAAAAAATGCAATAGTATTTAAGTAAGTACTTTAACACACAGAATTTAAGAAAGAACAACTGAAAAGCTACAGTGTGTTTGCTCCATATACTTGGTCTCTGTTTAAGGGCCAAGCTTCAACCAAAATCTGACTGCATCACAGATTTCAGTGGATTACAGGGTCTGCTTTTCATCTCCCCCAGTCCATAAAAACAACAAACATGGCTAAACATAGATAAACCCCTACAAAGCTTTTGCATGATGAGAGCACATAAACGCTACTCAGAACTGCCCACAGTTTTGGTCACAGACCCAGCGTTACAACAATGTTCTGTGGGCTTGAGTGTATTTTTAAGGGGAGACAGTACTGACATTAAGCTGCAAACCAGTGGAAACATCCAGTAAAGAGCATTCAAGGGTTTAACTCCCCTGTCCTCCCCACGAGAATACCAGAGAAGCTAATGGAAAGAAAACGAGACACCATTTTCCATGGTCCTCTTGGGATATGACATAAAAAGCTGAATTTACATTTTTAAAACCAAAACACAAGCGTTGCAATGATGACACTGCCTTTGCCTTGCTGGGGTGTCTGTCATCACCAGGTCTTTGCTGAGCGCTGCTATTCAGGCTCTGCTCTGGGCTCTATACGTGGCAGGAAATGCTTACCTCTCTCTGTGCTTTTCTGGCTTGTTTCTCTTCTAATTTCCTCTGCTTCTTTGCTCCGATTTTCCCAGACACCTGAAATTCTGGCACCTCCTCAGCATCATCGTCCTCTGCAACATTGCGTAAATGACACATTTTAAATCGCCTGTAAAAAAATCCCTTCGAGAAACTTTGCTGCTTCCTAGGAAAGCAGCAGCAGATGAAAAGGAGACACACATACATTTCAGACAAGACCTATTAGATGGAAAAAGGCAAAAAAAAAAAAATCACACAAGACTGCCAAAGCCACAGAGTAGAAGTAACAAGGCAAACACACTCAAGTGAAGTCAGAAGTAAAAATTTACTTGATCTTTTGAAGGAAGGCCTTTCATAAACATTTCCTGCTTTCCACAATTAAAAGATATACTTTCTCTTATATATAAAATGTGCTAATAGTTGTCATATAACTGCTCAGCACTCACCGGCAGAGACTTTCTTCCCAGTTACCTTTAAGCTCAGCACAACAGACATCCATTCAAAAGTGGGGTTCAGAGGCATGCCACTCATCCACTAGTTCTAGCCTGATATAACTAACCTTTAAGGAAGGAGGGAAAAAAAAAAAAAATTCCTGCAATGCAAATCATGGGCTCGACTGCAACAAAACTACATGTAAATAGTTCCCTGTTGTACGACAATTGGTTGTTCATAAAGATGATTTCTGCAACTGTGAAATATGAAAGCGTCATGCTCAAATGGTGTGCAAATGCATTATATTTCTGCTCGCCCAGGGGCTAAGTAAGACTGAAGAGCTTTTAAAGACTGCCATTTCCTCCCCGCTCCACCTCAACCACTGTCTCATGAACATCTGGCCACTTTATTTGCTAATCGAAATTAGCCCTTGATCCTACAACACAAGTACTGGGGATTGACCTCAACACTTAGAGAAATCATTAGCTCACTTCATGAAACACTACACAATATGTAGAGATTCATGCATCTGAATCAGATGGCAGAATCAAAATGAAAGATCTTTATCACATGGATCCCTTTTTTGGGTAAAGTAATTTATACTTTGAGCATCCACAGTGCTGTTATGCTTGATGCTGACTTCAGATCCACACACTTGAAGTCTGCTGAGTAGTTGGAAGAACAGCACTGCCAGCTCCTGCGATTTTCCCCGAAATGCAGTGTTCATTTCGGGAGGGAGAAGGGGAGAAGCATGCAGGGGAAGTTCTTCCTCAGTTAAGTTTTAGCCCTCATCGTTGAGAGGGGAAAAAAAAAAAAAAAAAACCACCAAACAACCGATCCTCCACTCACACAACCCCTGAGCCCTTGGTTTCTAAGACCAGGCTAGCAAGAAGAAAAAGCCTGTCGCGTTTGATAGCCGGTTTCAGGGGAGCCGGCAGCAGCCGTACCTGGCGCTGACTGTGCCGTGGCAGTCACCAGAACCGGTTGGGCAGGGCTGGCAGCAGGGTGTTTTCCATAGCGCGCTCTCTCCATAGAGCCTGGTCCCCTTTTTTGGGAACCCAAAAAAGCTGCTGTTAAAGGAGCACATGGATGAATGAGACTCACCCTTCTTTCATATGTAGAGTTAGGTTTGAAACACTCCTGTTTTACTAATTCCAATACACAGTATGGTACTATGGTTAAGCCACCGAGACACATCATCAGAAACAAATGTAATTGAGAGCTGTGTAGGTGGCTCTCAAACAACTTAGCTGTTTTCAGGACATGGAAGTTAATATGACGCAGGCTTGCTGAATTGGGCTTCAGAGAATTACTGTTATCTGACTACCGAGATGATCAAAAGGGTTCCCCTTTCCTACACCACAAACAAAGAGAGCAACAGGGGACACTCAGACTTGACACAGTTGCTTCTACGATTTTGCTGAAGTCTAAAATAACTTTATTTTTTAAATACTGGGCCAAGGGGAGTTCCAAACACAATGGGTGAGCAACCCAGCGTTAGCGGTTATTACTCCAAAATTAACAGTTCAATACTGGTATTATTCTTTAGAAAATTATTTCTGGAAAACAGCACAGGTCTAAAACATCATCTATGACACTATCCAACCCGAGGCTCTGAGTGCTTCTCAGATTTCATCTATATTAAGAGTACCTGAGCCAGAGGTCAGGCAGAAGTCTACAAAGGCTTTTAAAGCCTTTTTCCACTCCTGGATCAAACATGCCTTTGTTCAGTAGCATTTGCTTTCCTCCCGTTTGAAGCATTTGATGTGATCCCTTAAGTAGCACTTCCCCCAAGCTTTTTCTAGCACATGGAGTTACGTCCAACAAAAGACAGAGAGAGTGATGCAGACACAGCCCATGATTCAGCAGAGCATTAAAGGTCAGCAGTGCACTAAACCTGGGTGCAATTAGTATGTGCTAAATAAACCTGAGCATGCTGACAAGAATATAAGCACATGGTAAAAGGATGTGCTGAATTAATTGGTTATTGCAGCAGACTAGCTGCACCGAAAGCAGAGTGGATGCTGCACACAGCCAGTGAGATTTTTTTTTTTTTTTTTTTTTACTTTTTTTACATTTCAGCAGCTTTTAACAATGACTTTTCACGTATTCATAGTTGCCAACGCCAGTAGACCTCACGGGGGGTCAGTCCATGGGAACATGCACTCCATCTGCCCCTGTGCTTCAGATGTGATGCAAGACGTTCAGTTAATTGTGCTCACTTGTGAAAGCAGTTTATCATCACCCAAAGCCTGCGTGCATACTCAGTTGGGAAACCTAACAACAGACATCATCGTATAGTTGAAGCTGAAAATGTATTTTTGTATTTTTTGGTGCTCTCTACAGTTTTTTTTGATGTCTTGGAACACGGCAGTTCCAGGACGTACATAGGGTTGTGGCAGGAAAGGGAGAGAAGTTTAGTGCTCTAAACTTGACACAAGCAGTTTTTCAGTAGTGACTTTCCCTAACTGCTCACAGGACCACAGGACACCAAAGTCCTGCTCCCACTTCACCATACGGTGCCGAGAAAGAACACCAAACCTCAAGGCACACAGGACCTTCTTCACCCGAACTGCTTGGATGTGACATAACGGGACTGCTTTCAACCACGGCCACAACCCTACCAACACATTCTGGTCCATCTTTACAGAGTCCAGCATAACTATACCGACATTTCCAGAGCTTGCAAAGCATTCCCACCGGCTTCCAGCTCTAAGAGACAGAAAGCAGAGATAGTCTGACTTACAGTGACGCTTTCACATCACTTGACATACTCTGCTTCACACAAACATGGGTTTTGCTCAGCTGACCAGCTGAGAGGCAGCTTCAGGGAATCTTAGCTTTTCCTTAATGTTTTGAACAGATTGAGAGGCAGGACAACAGGAAACAGTTAACAGTCACACAGGTGTTTGAATCTCTTGAAATTTACAGACTACTTTTTAAAAATAGAATCATAGAATTGTTAAGGTTGGAAAAGACCCTTAAGATCATCAAGTCCAACCGTTAACCCAGCACTGCCAAGTCCACCACTAAACCATGTCCTCAAGCACCATGTCTATCCGTCCTTTAAATACCTCCAGGGATGGAGACTCATCCCCTTCCCTGGGCAGCCTGGGCCAGGGCCTGACCACTATTTTGGTGAAGAAGTTTTTCCCAATACCCAACCCAAACCTGCCCTGGCGCAGCTTGAGGCCGTTCCCTCTCGTCCCAT